TGGTTCCTCGACATTTTGATAAATGCAATTATTTTCAGCCTAAAGACCATATTCCACTACTATAGATATATGATCTTAGCAGCATTCTAAACCCTTGATGGGCATATTAACATGGCTTTAAAATAATTTTATATCCAGCTTATGGCAGAGTATTACACCAGATTGATTTATGTTACAATATCTTGAAAAGTCAGCACAGTTCTGTTCAGTTTACTCAAAAAGCCAGCTGTGTTTAAAGGCATGATTGAGAAAATGGGAGCAAAACAAATGTTAGTGGATCTCATTATTCAAGTCAGTGTGTGGAACAATTTAACGCAATTAGGTTGGCTATACAAAAATGATCTGTGCTATTGAGCATACTAATTTACTCACAAAAAGTGACCCAAGTTCCTTTAAAAAAAAAAAAAAAGCGCTTCTCCAACAAGGAGGATGATCAATCAAAAATGAACTTGAATGCATGAGACATATGAAAATCCCAAATTACACAGAATATATTTGATTTTTCTTAAACATTATTTCTTTGTACTTCCCCACTAGTCTTCAAAGTATTCAAAGTCCACTGCTCATGCAATATCTGGTTTCAGGCAAACTGCATGGCAGTATGCCGTAGCTGAAAAAATATGCTTGAAGTCCGCATTCACAGGCGGCTTTAACATCCTAAGGAAAACGCTTTGTTTTTGTAGCCTGAAAGTATGTCACAAACATGAATAGAATTATATGCTCACTCTCCTCACCCTCAGTCCCCTTTACCTTAGGATAAAATTATACACTTTCAATTACAGGGCCAGTTAAAATCAATACAAAGGTGGGAGAAAACAGACCATTTTTCTTATGGAAGTAACTGTTTTCATTAATTTTTCATTAGCCCTGCCTTTGTTTTGCTATCCATCACTGAAGGAGCTGGTATGCAGTAGATTACATTTAGGTTATCTTACATGCTCCCAGGATTTAGTAGATATTGCTTGATAAAGCTGCAAGCTTTATGGCTTTAACTTATGTCTATCAATAACGAATCAGAGAGTATTTTTCTGCAGTACTGTTGTCTCTGTGCCAAACTGCTTACTCTTTGAATAGATACAGTGGTTAAGGTTGTTAATGCAGTAGCCTTTTAAAGTTACTGATCCAAACACAGTACTACTGAGAGACAGGTAAGCAGAGACTGAAGGAAGGTGTCCATAAGGAGCAATTATCTTCAGCTTTTGTTTTTTATTTCACAATGTAGGGCCTGGCTTCAAATACACATCTGTGCTAGCAACTGGAACTTGAAACATTTCTGTTCATTCCTCTCTCTCTCACCAAAATTCAGTATGAATTTCCAAAACTATGCCCTTTCCCTCTTTGGTACGGAAGAGAAGCATCATAAGTAGAAAATTATGGACATTAGCGAAGGAATTGGGCCAGACAAAGAAGATAAAGTAGCTATTGAATATAGAGAGGATATTTAAGCACACTTAAGGAAGGAAGGGAAAAAATATCCAAGGGAACATGCAAGTTGAACATGCTTGTGAGAGCATTAAACAGAACAAAACCAACCATTGTTCAAATGTGGCTAATTGACTTTGGTGTCTGTAAATCTCCACTTTTATAAGTGTTGTAGCAATTCAGTGTGCCCAAAGCACTATTATTTTGCATGAATTACTGCAGGGAACTTTCAGGCTGGTGGTGCTGGGTGGGTGCCTTAGTGCCACCCAGTTCTGAGTTTGAACCTGGGTGCTCACCAATGATTTGCTTAGACAAATCACTTCTCCCTACTTCAGTTTCTCCAGCTGTAAAATGAGCATACTCATCCCTCATTGGTGAGGAGCTGCTTAATTAAAAGGTTTGCACAGTGCTTTGACGTGGAAAAGAATTATGTTGATCCAATGCTATTATTATGGAGCTGCCTAAGCACATACCTGAGCAGAATAAACAGTCCTTAAGACCTGGAGGAAGAGGCAAGTAGATTCACTACCAATTTCCCCATTGGCCTGGCAATAATGTGTTCAATGCAAGACACCAAATACAAATCTGAAGTATGCAATTTATTAGGAAGTCATAAGGATTAGTGAAATAGCTGCTACAGATCTTTAGAACTAGTGTCTCATGTGCTCATTTTGAAATCAAGTGAAATTTCTTTTGGATGAATCAATCAAAGCATCACACATCCATTTATGGTCCTCACTAATCCATATGTCTCAATGGAAAGTCAGAATGAGTACAAGTAACAGTACATTAAGCTAGAGTGTTAATGGAGACCTTATGTAAAGACCTTTCTTTTTTAAGTCAAACACCCATGTCCAGGTGTGTACTTAATATGTTGCATTCCTATACATTACAGGCTGCTTAATAGTGGTGACTAGGCAAGGTCAGGCATCCCGTATTACATGTTTTCCTCAGGAAAAAAATAATACTGACAAGCTACATAATAGAGCAGAAACATAAAGACCATTTTGTATTATAGATTAGCTCATTTTTCAGTCCCAACTCAGAGTACAGAGACAAATCACATGGATCTGTTGCACCCCCTTCACCATCCATCCAAGAAGGCAAACCAAAATCTAGTCATAAGTGCAATATAAGTGACCGGAGGAACCCAACAGGGGTTTGTATGTATAGACAGATGAAACTACTACGCATTTTTCAAGTTGGTCAAAAATGCCAGCATTCCCTGGAATGTCGTGTTTCAATTGTGCTGTGAAAAAAGAGTCTGAGTGAAATGCACTTTATTTGATCTTCATTGGTTTTCTTTTAAAAATATATACAATTTTGAACAGTTTATTAATTTGGGCCCAATTCTATCAACCTATTATGTAGTTCCTTATTCTTGGAATTAAATCCACATGGGATTAAGTGAAGCAGCAAATTATTATTCAGTGGGCGCATCTACAGTGCGCAGTAGCGTTGGCAGGCTCTAACTGCATCTGAAAAAACCCGTGTGGCAATGGTACTGTGCAGTAACGCTGGTTACTGCTCAGACATTTAGTGCTTGCTTATGCATAAGCAAGTACTAAACACCTATGCAGTAACAACTGCACAGTCCACCGCTCGTGTAGACACGGCCAGTGTGAGTGATGGGGCAGAAAACAGAAGTTGGTCCCTAATAAGTCACTTTCACTGTGTTGGGTTTAAATTTTGGGGCTTTTGATAACATTTTATAGTTATTTCCTGGCCAGACAGCAGAGATATTAATCGTGTTAAACTGCCAAGAAATTTGTAAGAACATAGATTAAAAAACCCCCAAAATATACAGCATCTGTATTTCTACTTTTGAAACCAAATGTTATGTTCAAAAGCAGGACATTTTCAAGGGCTGGTATCAACATGATATATAACATGGAAGTCAGTTGTTGGCTTCTCTGAAAACAAAGCTTTAGCAAGTTATGGTTATAAAAATGTCACAAGGAGACCCTTATACTATGGAGACTCAATCCTTCTATGTATCTAACTTTTATGTTAGAAGAGGGGTGGCAATTTGAAATCAAGTACTCCAGCCTCGAATACAGCCAGCTCACCCAGTTTTGCTTTCTGAGAACTGAGTAACCAGATCAGAGAGGTAATAGCCAAAGACAACACAAAGGCTTGCTGTAAAGTATTGATTTTGGTGCTGGTGATCCCTCCAGTCCCTCAAGAAATAATAAACCACTCAAACTGAAATCTGAGAAAAATCAACTGGTCTAAGAACCCTAAGGGTTTCTTGGTTTCATTTCCACTGTAAATAAACCTCAGGCAGCAAGAATGCCTGCATACAAATACTAGTTGTCCACTTGAAATAATTCATAATATAGAATTCTTCTGTAAAGACTTGACAGATTAAAGTAAAAGATTTTTTTCTCTAAAAACTGGCCAATGGCCTGTAGAACTCCCAAGTTTTCTTAAAAATAAAAATACAAATCCCTCCTAATCTGTACTTTAAAGAGACAGTGTATTTGTTAAATCATTCACAGAAATATAAAATGAATCATCATTAAAACAGGAACCAATTTCAAAAGGTCTATTGAAAAAAAAGTGTGTCCATGAACAAGGTGTTTCTTTGTAAACTGAATTCATTTCCTGTTCAGTATAACAATGGGAGCAAGAATTACAGCGTAGATTGCTCAACTTTCATACTTTCAGAGGATCCTCTGTTGCCAGCGATGTCAGACCTAGGTTTTTGCTAGGTCTTCAGTCATATAGCTTTCACATGGAGTAAGGCAAACACAGTTTGTGCCCCTGCTAGCCAGCAATTGAAAACATGAGTCTATTGACCAGTGCAGCTTGAAAGACACGGTTC